TAGATTATCTTAATGATCTGCAAAAATAATTATTAAAAAATAATAGTAACAAATAAAAAAGAAATGTAATAGTGAATAAAGTAATAAAAAAAATAGAGAAGTAATCTATTATTTATATAACAGGTTACTATAATTATCATATTTTACCAGACTGTAAAAAAAATCTGTGATATATTTTATCTATTCTTATCAATACTATATTAATATTATATCAATATTATAATGCTAGTTATTATTTATATAACTTTAATAAATTATTAATATTTATTATATGAAGAAAAAACTTATTTATCAATAATAATAATATCTCTAAAATACAAAAAATCTTCCTAAATACATCACAAGAGATCCAGGAGTCAGTCTTTGAAATATATTTAGAAAGATCTCTATACTTGAAAATAAATCAAAATTTTATTTCTCTTTAATTAATATATAAATTTACTTAACTTCTAATAAAAATCTGTTATTCAATAGCTAAATATCATTGTCAAATTTGCAAATAGTATTTTATAACTTCTAGTAGACTGACATAGCATGTCAATATAATATATCATGAAAGAAGAACTATTTCTTGATCAACAGATTATATCTTGCAAAGATCATAATTATTTCAGCCAATACAAAGATCAGAGCATGATGCAAATTTATAGAATATGTTGATTACAAGATCATCTCTTTTGATAATATTAATAGAATATAATGAAATGATGATATTACCTTTAAATATTAAAGAAGAAATAATATTATCTGTGAAAGTTGCTAAAGAAATAACATTACCTATGGAAGTTGTTGAAGAGATTTCAGAAGAAAATTCTGAAGAATCACTACTAGTAGACATTGACACTAGCTTTAATTCTAAAAATCTTCAAGATGTAACTTTGGATGATGCTTTAGAGATCATCAAAAAAAAATTGAACTAGAATGCTTAGCACAATAGTCTAATGATATTTACCATAACTTCATGAAATTGATAATAGAGAATAATATTTCAAACAAGATCAGGGATAAAATAATTAAATTCTTTAATAAGTATGGTAATCTGAAGGAATCATCATTACTAAAATCCACAAAAAGTAGAAAAGATTACCTTAACTAAATAAAATCATCTTTGATCAATTTCAAAGAAAAGATTGTCAGAACTTTTTCTAACATCATTTTTACTCTCTATTACCATTCAATTTTTTGAGCTATCCAAATACTTCTATAACAATCAGGAATAACAGATAATTTTAATCAACAGGACACTCTAAAAAAGAAGAAGATAGTAAGTTTTCAATTATTATAATGTTATTAATAAAATTAACAAATCAGCAAATATTAAGTAATTATTAGAAAGATGAAGTTAAAATAAGAGATAGTATGAATATGATTAGTGATATGAGATTGAAAAGATGTTTCCTCCATTACACTATCTATTATTGATCATTCTATATTCAGATATCACTATTTTTAATAATCTTGACAAGATATCAGAATATTCTGTATTTTAACACTTAGCAACTTTCCAAATTGACTTCAAAATAAATCAGAAGCTAAAGTTCTTTTGGATTTTTTGTTTAAAGTTCAAGACTCAATAATAAAAATCACCAAAGATTTTTAAAGCTTGTAACGTGAAGTATATCACAAGTACTTTAAAATTATGCTTGGTTTTCTAATAGAAAAATCTAATGAATTATATTTTGGAGTATAGGGGTGATTAGTAATTTTTATAACATATATTTCAGTCTTTCTTGCAGATATGCTTGAAGCTGATAATGTGATCATAATATATAAATCAACAAGATACAAAATACTATGTCATATTTGCATGATTCTGCAGGATAATCTTAATAATATGAATCTTGCATCAGAGAATATGAATCTTAGAATATCAGAAAACATGTGACAGATTATAAATAAAGATCAGAACAAGAATTTTTTCATACATAATGTTGAAAATGCATTTTGGAAGTTCTCGTGAGTGTTTGAATGCTAATCCTTCTGTAATTATTTTGAGTTATAATTAAATTAAAATTATTAAATTATTATAAAAACTTAAATATTTATAAAGCTTATATATCTGATCATATGTATCATATTAATCTTGATCTCTTCAAATACCAATTAAACTTCACTCAAGATATTTTGAAAGAAGTTGAAGAAACAGAATTACTAAACATCTTTAATAGCTATCTTCATCAAATTTCTCACTTTTCTGGATTGAAGTTATTCAATAAATTGGATCAAATAAAAGTGATGACAGTCACAGACTATTGATATATTATGAAAATCACTCTTTTTATGTTAGATAATATCTTTAACATATGAAATGATGTAACCTACAATAAACTCTGCATACTTTATGCAAAGTTTAGTAGAATATATATGATGAGTAAACAAGAGTTGTTTACTGAAAATGATTTAAAAGAATTTGAGATAAAATAAAACAAAATTAATTAAACTTTGAAGAATTAATAATGGATTTGAAAATAAATATAGATTCTCATTACTGACTGATCAACTGAATTTAAGAGAATCTTCTTATCACTATTCATTATAGAATATAGTTTTCCTAAATTATATAGTTGACACTATCACATGATTCTGATAATTTGTAAATATGATATTTTGAATAGTCTCTTGATAGAAATATATGAAATATTTTACAAGTCATATGTGAAAAATCTATACTGGTCATCAAATAGAAAAAATACCATATAGCAGATAGTAAATACAGTAAGTCAAGTATGTTAATTGTGATTAATTTATTATAAATTCTAAACTATACTTACAGATGAAGTGCAAAGAATTAGTTCTAATGATAAGTAAGACAGTTTATCATAAAATTATGGGATTTGGCAAAATATTATAGAAATTATCTTTGGATGCTATCAAAGTAAAAGTGATTTCATTGAAGTATTTGAAGAGTTCATCATATCCAAACTTTATTGAAGGATTATCATACATAATCACTGTGTTAAACATATTTCTTGATATATTATCACAAGAGTCTGAAAGTGAAGACTTTTATATAAAAGTTTATGACACAGTTCATTTGAAAAGTGGTAAAATTCTGAGAACATCTGGAAATTTTCATAACAAAGAGTGATTCAGTAATGTTACAGTAATTTCAGCTAAAGACCAAAGTTATTATAAATCAGATAAAGATGCTTGATATGAAAAGATAAATACAACTTGAAGAATAGTAAAATATAATTTTAAATTTAGCAATTTTAAATGAATTAACCTTTGTATTTCTTTTCAAAAGATACTGCTCTTTTTACAGTTTTTTTGAGAATTAGCAAAGAATCTATACAATCTTATTATAATTTATTAGTATGATATTATGCTAAATAAGCTAGAAAAGTACAGTTACTCTCATCTATACTATATTAAAGATGACTCCTCAACTGTTGCAACGTGATAACAAATAAAGTATCATCTAGTTGCAACTAGTTGTGACATATTGTAACAGGTGACAAATAAGCATCATATACTTGCTACACTATCTTTATATTATACCAAAGAGTATAATATAATTCTAATAGAATCTATAGATCAAGAGGTACATATTGTGTCAAGATTTGACAAAAAAAATCTTTTTTTGTTAAATAAATATATATTTTGAAAAACTAATAAACAAAGAATTTTAAAGTTAAATTTATATTTGTAATAAACTTTAAAGAAAAAAAATAAATGATAATGTATATAATCAATCTATTTATTATTTATCTATTTAATTTATATCCAAAGAACTGTAATAATTTGTAATTATGCTAATTATTACAGTTTCTTTGGATTATACTTCTTTAAAATTTCTATTTTCAGAGTTTTACGCAGATTTTGGATTGATATAATCAAAAAATCAGTGATAATTAACATATTTACTGATCATTACTGATCTGATATCTATCAAATTTACTGATAATATTTTAGAAATTATATAAATAATACTTTATTATAATACTTATATTACTTTTATTATGATCTAAATATTATTTTAACTAATATTATAATATTAATTTTGTTATAATAGCATTATTAATTTTGCTATGATAATTTTGCTAACTTTGTTATAATAATTTTGTTATAATTATTATATTTATGAAATCAGAATTTAATTAAAATTTTAACAAATTCTAAGCAAAAATTATTTATAAATATCTGATTAAAAATAAAGTTTAATTAGAATTTTACAAAAAATTAGTTAAAAATTATTTATTAATATTTAATAATAAATAATTTTTAATTAAAATTTATAAAAGATAAATAAATTTTAGTTAGTTTTTATAAAAAAACTAATTAAAAATCATTTATAAATATTTAATAATAACTGAATTTTGATTAGAATTTTATAAAATTCCAGATTTTTGTTATATTATAATCAGAATTAATTTTTTATAAAGGTATTAATTATAAATTTCATCTTTAATATTAAATAAATTCAAAATAATTAATTATATTTTATATTTTTAATATAATATAAGTGATTTCTATGATTATAAATATCTTATTTTATTTTAAAATAGATTACTATATATAAGAGATAAGATAACTATATTATAATAATTATAATAATAATAAACTAATATACTTCTAAAAAAATTTATTAATAATAAATTATTATTTCTCTTTTTAAATCTTTTTAAATTATAAAAATATTTTTATCTTTCTTTTTATTATTCTTGAATTTTTTAATACTATATTTAGTAATACTATTTTTGAAAAAGTTTATTGTTAATAATAAAAGAAAATTCTATTTAGAATAATAATTTTTAAATTAATCTAATATTTTTATTATCTATATGTATTATGTTTTTACAATTATAAATTTACATAATGAAAAAACATTAAATAATAACAATAATAATAAAATTACATTGATATAATAAAGTTCGTATAATATGCATGCCAACAATAATTTTTTTCGATAATTTATAAAAACCATCATTTGAGAATTGAAAAAAAAATTGATAATGAAAAAGATAATGACATAAAAAGATAAGCTAAGTATATTTTTATTATGAATTTTTAATTGGGCCATTATAAATTTGCTCCAATTCTTTCTCCCATTGCGGATTAAAATAAATATTGCCTTTGTTATCATTAGGTGGGGCTACCAAAGCTTTCAACCGAACCAACTCTTCGACTTCCAGAAGGAATTTTTTGTTAAGAGTAGTATTTGAAGCTGATGCTGATGTTTCCAACTTGTCTTTGAATAACACAGCCGTCTCACTGTTCTGGTAATTCTGTAACAGAACTTTACGACGGATAGGTTTCTCCAAGAATTGTACAATTTCTTGCAAGAGTAATCGGTGATTTGATAATAGTCCTTTTGATTCAAAAAACGGGATCGCATTCTCAAAGCTTATCAACGTATCTAATGGTACACCAGGCAACATTACCGAAATTTCTAGTGATAATAGGCTATTTGAATTGGGGTCGTAGACTGAGACCTCTTGCGATGTGGATGGTGGTGATGGTGATGGTGTTGTTGCTGCTGATATTTCTGATTTGGTGTTTTGTTCTTGATTATTGATGGTGCTGGATTCGTCTTCATCTTCTTCTGGAGCTAAAAGAATAAGGCCTTGAGAAATGAATTTTTGTATGGTGTTTTTTGATTCTTGACGTCGAGTTTCACCATCCGGAATAGTTTTAAGCCAACGACTGTATCCGTATTGAATTGCATTAAGCAGTTTAAACAATTTGATTGGCTAAATAAACACATATTATTAATATAAATTAATCAAGCAATTAAATTCAAAAAATAGAAAATAAAAATTAACATATAGAAAACTCACCCTGCCTTTTTTAAATTGTCTCAAAATCAATTCATGTATTTCTTGCTCCTCTTCTTCCCTGGTCATGGGATACCGCTCAGCCCAAGTCTTATACTCAGGATTTAGTCTATCTGCCAACATATTACAATAAATCTGATATCCTGCGAACGCATCCGCAGCCGCATACTGAACCAACCTATTGTCCAACTGCACTGCATCAAAATTCCATTTTCTTATCAAATTTTTAGATTTATCCAGCACCAGACCAGGGTCACCATACATCAGCGTCAATTCGCTTAGTGATAATTTAGGTAACCCTTTTTCTTGCGCCAACATCTCTAAATCGACTGTACCACGGCACCGAATCTTGTAAGATTCGTGAAGCCAGTCAGCGTCACCACTTGCATTCACGCCGACTTTTAGGATTTTTTGGTCATCGAGAAAGTTAGCTAGTTGACGCGGAAATTTTGTTCGGTCTCCTCGCGTGATTCGGTAAACTTGAAAAAGAAGACATAATTCGCGTGTTGCAATTTGTATCATTGAGACTACTCGATGATTTTCTTTACGAAATACTGTGGTTTCCGTATCGAATCCAACATACTCGAATGGCCATGCCGGATTTTGCTTCAATGCTTGAAAACACCGATTAACTAATAAAATTCGGCACGTTAAAATAAAAATAAATTATATGGTAAAAGTCTTGAATTAAATTATTCTAATGAAAAACTAATTACTGTGTGCAGTGTTAGCAAGTTGAAAAACTGGTGGGTGTTCTTGTATTCTTGGTATGTCCATGCTATCTAAAATCTGGACTAGACTTAAGTCCTTGGTGGGTTGGAGTTCTGCATTTATTTCATTTGATGGTGGTGGTGGTGGTGGTGACGGTCGAAGAAGTGATGATTCAGTTGTGAATTTTCTTGGAGGATATGAATTTTTGACGGCTCTTTGCATGTTCACGAGCAAATTGCTTCGTTATCAATAGTTAGATATTTCAATACCTAAAATTGCATATTGTGTCACTGACTAATATTAACTTTTACATACAGCATTATGAGTGCGGTCTTTATCCTAGCCCGGGTTCCAATTAAAAACGCGTAATTTTTATTATTCATATGCACGACGAAGCACCATGGCTGTTTTTTGTTAAGGTTAGACGATTTGATCTTGCAATCTGATTGGTCAATTACATGGAAGGAAAATCTAGACTTTAGGCTCAGGAAATTCATCGGGAAATTTAATTTTTTTAATGTCAACGATCGACCAAAAAATAAAGAATTCTTCGAGTGCTCGTCGTCGCGTTGCTATTATTGGTGGCGGCCTTGTGGGGTCATTATCCACAATATACTTCGCGAAACGAGGCTGGGAAGTTTTACTTTTTGAACTCAGAAAAGGTAAGGTGAAATTATACACGTGTATATAATCGTTACGAACTCTAAATTTTATTGTGTTTTTAAGATCCAAGATTAGAAGATAAGACCTCTCTTTCACAAAGATCCATAAATTTGGCACTCTCGGCTCGAGGTATAAGTGCATTAAAGAATGCCGGGTCAAATCTGGATGAGGTGGTGCTGAGTCAAGTTGCTCCCATGAAGGGAAGAATGATTCATAGAAGAAAAGGGGGGTTGTTGAGTCAACTTTATGGTGTATTTGGAGAGGTATGCATTTCGTTCTTTCATAATTATCTTTATCGACGATATAATGAATTCTAGTTTTTCCTAGTGCATATATTCGGTCGATCGTGCAACATTGCTTGGATTGCTTCTAGACGATGCCGAGAAATCCGAAAACGTAAAAATTTATTTTGAACATCAATTGAAACAATGTGATTTCGATGCTAGAGTGTTGGACGTAGAAAACAAGTTTGTAGTAATATTCTTTACTTTAAGAATCTAATAATACACCCTTCGAATCATATATTATTTTTCGGTAAATGAATGTAAAAAGGAACGATGGAACCATATCCAAATATGAGGCAGATCTAATTGTGGGCGCAGACGGTGCATACTCTACAGTCAGATCCCAACTAATGCGCGTTGTCCGAATGAACTATCAACAGGAATTTATTCCGCACGCGTATTGTGAACTAACGATTCCGCCTAAAAAAAATGCGAAAGGTGAATTCGAGTTTGCGATGGACCCGAATCATTTGCATATTTGGCCTCGGCATACTTTTATGATGATTGCATTGCCGAATTTGGTAATGGCTATCTATATTCTTTTTTCGGTGTGTAATTACTGGCATATTTATCATTTGTTATTTTTACCTTTGGCAATTATAGGATAAATCCTTTACGTGTACTTTATTTATGCCATACGAAAAATTTGATGCAATCAAAACAGAAGACGATTTGATAACCTTCTATCAATTGTATTTTACGGATGCTATTCCTTTAATAGGAGAGCAAAATCTTAAGAGAGACTATTTTCTTAATCCGAAAGGTTCATTAATTTCTATTAAGGTAGATAGAGATATATATATAAAAAAGTTGTCGTATTTTTCTCAACTAAACCATATTATTTATTTATAGTGCGATCCTTATAACTATAAAGATCGTGCTGTGATTATTGGAGATGCTGCACACAGTATGGTTCCATTTTATGGACAGGGTATGAACTGTGGATTCCAAGATGTAGAAATCTTGGATAAAATTTTCGAGCAACACAACATAAACTCCCAAAAACCCGAAATAAATATAAATACATTTAACACTAATAGCGCAAAAGAACAAGAAAATGATGACATGAAATTCCGCAAAGATCTAGAACGTGCACTTGACGAGTACACACGATATCGACACATTGACGTGACAACAATCTGTGATCTAGCGATGTACAATTACATCGAGATGCGTTCTAGCGTGATAAGTCCGATATATATAACGCGAAAGAAAATCGAGGAATGGCTGCACTGGTTGTTCCCGAGTCGCATAATTCCGCTGTACCCTATGGTAAGCTTTACCGATATGCGGTATTCGGACGCACAGCGAAGATGGAAACGTCAAAATTTTTTGATAAATGTGATTGCTGGATCGACTGTTTTGGCTACTTTTGCGGCGTTGGTGTTGGGATTGAGGTGTGGAAGGTGCAATATTCAAAATGTTAATTATAAAGATAGCATGGTGTCAATCATAAAGAATATTTACGAAAAAATTTCTCGGAAAATTTTTTAGTAGTAACTTTTGTTATTTACACTAATAATACTTCGCCGGATGAAAAAGTACGAGAACTCTTAATTGAAAATTGGTTTTCTAGATCTTGGTGACGCGAATGAACTATTTAAAATTTTTTGGCAAGTTTAAAGAACTCGACATTTGTGTGCGCTTGTTTGTTGGCTCATTGTTATGAGGGAATAAAAACTAACCAGTGAAAAAAAAACTATATACAAAAAAAGTTGAGTCGTTCTATTAACAATAAAAAAGTGTGATATATATATGTGTGTATATATATATATATATATATATATATATATATATATATTTCTTTTGCATTGTATAATTTAATATTAAAGGTTTATATGTGTAAGAATGTAAGACGTTAAACCTTTACACACAGAGAATCACAGAATCATCCAGATCCGGATATTATAAACATGTAAAAAAAATATTAAATCTAACCTGTATTAATACTTCAAAATCTACCTCGATTACGATCTGGTAGAAGCCAATTAGGTGATGAAGGTGGTATTCGTGACTTTGCTAAGTTACGCTGTTGGTGATGGATGATGAAAAACATGACGATAAAAAGCAAATAAACACGAATAGGATACGATAAGTCGAAGGAATAGACGAAGATGGATAAAAATGGATATCACACCGAATGGGCAGGAAAGAGAAAAAGAAATAGGGATTAAAAAAAAAAGGTTAACAATATAATATGAGATCATAGAGAACGCAAATTAAGAGTTTTTTTCGTTCTCTCTCTACCCTGTGTGATTGAATTCCTCCTACTGGGTTTCTTGATGAATAGACGGATGATTGCGGCAGAGGTTGTCTATCGAAATACGGATTGGAATACCGATGATAATCTCGATTATTATTACTGCTACCATCACCACTATTATTATAGTGAGAATAGACATCATCTCTTCCACCAAACCGATTCTGATATCATTTAATGGAATCACATAAGATCAATTTGACGATCAAAATTCGAAATTCGAACAAAAATCAATGAGCTTTACTAACAATAATCCTATTATACATCGCAGAAGAGGATGCGGATGACGAAGCGGACATCATTGTTCCACCATATCCATGATTCATCCCACGAGTATTGTGAGGCGCACCATAGTTATTTATAGAATCGAAAAATGTGAGTGAGGAGGAAGTTCCATTCTGCAAGTGCTGTTTATTCAATTGACCTACTGAACTCGGGGCAAGCGCCTCAGCAGGGCGTTTTATCGGGAACGGAAGCTGTTGATGGAAGGCTGTCACAGAACCATTATTTCGATAGGGATCATTGCGAGAATCAGCAGCAGCAACAGCCGTGGAGAAATATTCGGAATTATATTCTGTAAGAGGTTGATAGCCTTTGCTTATTATCAAAGATGTCGATGGTGATGACGAATCTCTGGAAAATTCTAATGACGGTTGAGGTAGCGGAGGTGACGGCAAACTTGTGTAAGCAGCAGAAGCCGGTAGATGAGAAATCGCTAGAGATTGATCGATTGTTTGTTGACAACAACAAAAACAACACGCCATAATATGTTTCCGAAATTGAAAGTGTTTATGTGAGAATATGTATGTGTTTTTGTGGGAAATGTGGCTATTCAATCATCCTAGAGAATTATTACTCCAGAATTTTTTGAGTCTGGTAAAAGGACAATTAACGGAGACGTACATTCCGATGATGATGACGTTGCTACTGTTCTAACAGTTTCTCTGCTTTCCGAGGTTTCAGGGGTATGAGAATAGTGAATATGTTGAATGTTGTTCCTCGGTATCGTGGTACCTCTATGTAATAAAGAATAAATTAAATTCAGTTTCATGAGTCTGCATAAAAATGAATGATATACTAAATTTTATGGATTTTTCGGCGATGTCTTCCTTTTATATTTATTTTGAATCTTTCCCATGTTCAATGTTTCTGTTTGACAAATTTTCTTTCTAATCGATCTCTCTTTCCTAATATTATTTTATCAAAATTGATTGATTGGACATGCAGAGAGAATTATTTAACTCTTGATCCAATGAATTTTTTTTTGAAATTGATCCATTCTCTCTCGTTTTATATATCGTCGCATGTCTTACTTCTGATACGATGGAATTTTTGAATACGACTTTTTGTCCAATGATTCTTTATTCATTTAATATTTCAGTTTATTTCGAGCCTATATAACTATTCTGCCACATCGATAAACAACAAAAGTAATAATAGATGAGCAGGTTGGTTTGAGGTTGTCTTTTTTTTTAACCAATCACTCTCACTCATCATAATTATATATTAATAACATTTTTTCATATCAAATAAAAAAACAACAATTTAAAACTCAAAAAAAGAAAAAAAAAGGAATAGATAACCTACCGATTACTTTTTGACTTTTCATTCACATTATGTTTACTAGTATTGCTAGTAGTATTACTATTCATGTTTTCAGCTTTTTCTTTTACTTTTATTTTCCGTTGTTGCTGTTGCTGCTGCTGTTGTTGTTTATCCTCTTTTTTCAGTCGTTCGCAGTACACTTTTTTCTTTTCTTTTAACCGTTGAATTTTTCTAATAACTTCTTGCTCCTTAGCGATTAGTCTGCCTAAATAAATGTCTGCATCGACGTCATCCTCGATTTCCTTCTCGCCTAATGTAATTATATCGTCAAAATTTAAATCTGAATCTAAATCTAGATCCGAGGAATCCGCGTCAAGATCCATATCGTCTGCGTCACCGTCAAACACAACATTCTTGTCGATGATGTTATTAGTATCATTCGAATCGCTTTTCTTATTATTTTTAGTATTACTACTATTATTATTTTGGCGAATAATATCTAAAGTTTCTCCATTCGATTTGGTTTTGGTTACAGATTTTCTACCATTAGAAAGAATCGTAATATTATTGTTGTTGTTGTTGTTGTTGCTTTCATTCTTTGACGTTGATCCGTTTACTCTTATTGGTTTTAAACGAGTTTTTTCTTTCGATGATGATATAGCATGCATTCTACTGGTACCTTCGAATTCATATAGTTCATATCGCGAGGATGAAGATGCATTATTATTTTTTTTTAATGTTCCACTACCACCACCATCACCGACCTGATCATCATCATCATCATCATCATCAGATAGATTTCTTCGAGTAATACTACTGCTATTATTAACATTCCCTATTTTTATTTTTTCCTTTGCCTTTCCTTTCCTGTTATATGAAACAGGGTGTGTTTGTGTTGTTATCTCCTCGTGTTCTTCTATCCCGTCCACACAAGAGCTAATCTGCGCATCCAAAACACTATTATTATCAGATAACAATTGATCTATCTCTTCTTCCTCCTCCTCCCCTGCCCACTGTTCCTCCTCCTGTTCCCTTTCTTCTTGTATTTTACGAAATATTGCCCGTTGTAGAGGTAATGGTGTAGGCGGTGGTGTTGAAAATTCTCTAATAATTGGTTTTTGTGGTTCGTGTTCCATTTTTTTTCTATTATTCTATGGTTTTCTGTTATTTTTTTATATGAAATGCGCCAATTTTATGTGCATATATAACCTTTTTTATTTTAGATATATCGATATGTGAAATACGACTAAATGCGTCGTCGCCAAATGTGTCTTTAAAGGACTCAACAAGTGCGGATCAAAATATTATCTCATCCGATACGGTAAATATCAGATAATCATTGATTTGCGTTTAGGTATTAAATTCGAATTGTTCATTTTCCTATCACTATCTTTTTCTTTTGACGAGAGCTAAAATTTTTTTTTTGGCTACCCGAATCGGAAAAATGTGAGGCTTTAGTCTTAGACTTAGAATTTGCACGCGCGGCAAGGAAGAATTTTCGCCTTCAGGGGTTTTAGTTTAATAAAATCTTTATCAATACTGGGAAACTAGTATTTAAATTTTTTTATGAGCTTCAATTTGCTAGCGGCGAAAGATTTTCTTTTCTTCACCTATCGCTTACTATATTAAAAAGAATAGGATATGTGAAATCGAATTTGGTCAACAGAAGACAAGGTGGGCTAAAAGCTTCCAATCAAATCAGATTTTAATCTGAGGTTTTCTGGAAACGAAAACCTGACTTGAACCAGTTGAAAGAAGGTTTATTAATTATTATCGTTATCCATACTGGAAAATGGTTATCTATCTGTGTGTCTATATACGCATTCATTCGGTGTTGGCCAAAAGTACTTTCTTGTCGGGGAATGTGGCAAATACTCGGATATGGGGGATTCCCTTGCCCAACAGGGGAATCATCTACGTAAGCTGTTATCATCATATATATATACCACCACGTAAGATACTCCCACGTATTTTCCACCTATGATTCACTTCAAACCGTCGCACACCTAAAACATGTTGCACACCTAAATCAAAAATTCAAATATCCAAACATGTTGTACACCTAAATCTAGTGCGTATATGTTGATTAAGTAGCCATGCGTGTCCTCATTGCATATGATCATCGTTCTCAACGTTACTCGACATCTTGTTTTATTTATTGACTCCGAGGCAAATTGGATCGGAGTTTCGCATCAAACAAAAACTATTTTTCCTTTGAGCTAAAAACCCCTCCTTCTCTACTATATCGTTTATAGATACCCAATAGCAAATTATTATTTACTATATATATATTCTTTCCTCCATCGTATTTTTGCTTTTCCTTTTAGAACTTATTATAATAATCTGTTTTTTATTTGTTTTCTGCTGAATAATAAACAATGAGCTTTCTAACAAGCATCGGGTATACATCATTTTCTCACTCACTCTCTCTGAGTCGAGTATATTTTTTGTCGTCTCCTTGAATAAAACTTAAAAAAAAAAATTTGCGCATTCATCTTGAAACACGAGCTCAACTCTCACGCGTCTATCTATCTCTATTCAAGAATGATACCATATCATACCATAAAACTAACAAGCTCTTACATATTTCGATATTGTCGTAGAAAGCTCGGTAGAACAAAATCTCGGGGTGGTGCTAAGAATACGAGCTCATCACGTCCATTGTTTTTATCACCGCCATTTGTTAACGCATCGTTGGTGAAGGGTAGTTTTAAAACGATCGTTGTGTTACCAAAATACGTGGACGAGGACGAATGGTTAGCAGTGAATGGTAAAAAAAATCTACTTGTGGTTTTAACCGAGATTTATATATGGTTATATTTGACCGTACAAATAATGAATTTTTATTTTCTTTGTCTTTTAGTATTTGAATTCTTTAATTATCTTAATCTCTTTTATGGATCGGTGACAGATTTCTGCACCACAAATAATTGTCCTTCTATGAGCGCGGGACCTGGGTATGTGAATTTGATATATTGAAAAAACTTTTTTGTAACTATGATATCATGAAAACATCTCACTTATCTGAACACACACACGCACATATATATATATATGATATACGATATATAGCGTTGAATTTTACTGGATAGATCATACTAGAAAAAGTGCAAAACTCTCAGCACCCACTTATATAGATTATGTTATGACATGGATTCAGAATTTATTAAATGATGAAGCAACATTCCCAACAAAAGCAGGTAAAGAGAAGTCAAGTATCCAGCGCAATCATTGATATTCACTAAAAGAATCTAAGCTAACCTATGCATGCATCATTTTGCAAGGACGGGATTTTCCATCTGATTTTAGACAGACCGTAAAACAAATATTTAAACAATCATTTCGAGTATTCGCTCACATTTATCACAATCACTACGATAAAATTCTGCATCTGTGCGAAGAAGGTCATTTCAATTCGTTATTCGCCCATTTTATTTCGTTCGCCAAAGAGTTTAACTTATTAGACAAGAAAGAGATGGCACCATTGGAAGAATTGATTGAAGTTATGGAGATGAATGGGCACTTCAGCTAATTCTGTTTCAATGGTCATGATAATAATAAATAATAATGGTGATATTTGTTTGTTATTACTATTTATTATTCTTATCATAATTGTGATAATGATTGTTATTGTGGTGGGTACTATTACTGGGATGGGAACAAACTTTATTTTTGTATTTTCTATATCTTACCATAAGGACGTGTGGTTGAAAGAGGGATTTCAAAATTTATTTTTGTTGCTTTTTTTTTTGAGAATATTCTGCTGGTGCGGACATACATAACTATTTATTAAATTGAATAAATATTGCTTTTTTTTTAAATTTCTTGAACGATCATCTATATTCATACATATACTCTTTGAATCCTTTTACTATTTAATTTTCGTAAGAGCAAACCACCGATATTAATCACATATTGTCATCTAACTATTCTAATTCATTTGCGTCAAGCATTCGTTCAATACGTTCATGAGTATTAATCACGTACCTTATTTGCTATTATATGTTAATAATTCGTGTCCTTACAAAATGCGCATATACGCAAATCAAAATTTTATAAAGAAAAAACGCGATACTGTATATAATAATAAAGTCCGCTCAATTAGAAGATAATATATTTTCATTCTAAAAGTGTTCGATTCAAATTTAAATAAAAAAGTGCGAGTTACAATAAAAAAATCGTAATTGAAATAATAGATAATTAATCGTCATCTTCTTCTGAATCACTATCCTGGCGACTTCGAACGGAACCACGAGGAGGTCCTTGATGAGAAAATGATTGACTGTTTCCAACAGCGGAAGATCCTGAATAACCTCCTCGAACCATCCCGCGATTATTGTTCTTAGCATAATTAGTATTATTGTTACAGTTATTCCTACTATTTCTGCTGTATGAGAAACCACCAGGATTACTTGAATGAATGTTTGTATTATCTTCATCGTCAGAGTCCTCATCATCGTCATCATCATCATCATCACTTTCATCTTCACTATGACTGTAATAATTTTCTTTACTTACATATCTCCAAAGTTTCCTTCGTGGTACTGATAATATATCTTTAGGCTGACGCAAAGGTTCTAAAAATCCAGGAATTCCTTTTGATCTTGGTGGCCTCTGAGTACTCGGTCGCCAATCGTATTCCAGTTCTTTATGTTGAATCCATGATTTTCTATTATTATGTAACTCGAGGAAATCCCAATCTTTTTTCAATATCTCGAGTAATTCCTCGTTTTTCATTATCTTTGGTGACCAATGCACTACCCAATTTCTTTCTTTACGCCATATACGCGGAGGGCTAAGATTGGGTGCGGCTGTTGGCCGGCTATTAAGCTCTTTTAATTTTTTATCAAAGTCATTAATCCTTTGCTGCAAATCATAATGACTTGCGGTATAGAATTCACTCCATTCATCTAACTGATCTCGGTCCGCATATTTTATACCTTTCCTCCATGGTTCTGATGAAAACTCATTGATTAGACCCATGTTACTAATCAATTCATCCGAATTATTATCTATCTTATATTCGCCAAGCGTTAGAAAAGGCATGGGTGCAGCTCCCAGTGTATTTAAATACTCCCTTTTTAATTCCTGTCGATGAAGTTTTCGTTGTTTTTTCGCCAATCTTGCGCACAATTTCATATACCAATCTTGAAATTCGTGACTATTCTGATAAAATTTCTCATCGGCTTCCGGATCATCATTTCTGAATGTTTCACGAACTGTCCAAATACGACGTAAGACACCCGAAGTGAAGGTCATCTTTTTGACTGAGGGTGGTGGTGGTGGTATTTTACCCTCCGATTCGAGACCATAGCCTCCCCTGGGACCACGTGAATGTTTGGGTGTTTTGCCCCACATTTTTCCAATCAGAGCAAAGTTTGGAACGAGTTTTTCGATTTTGGGCTTTACTTTATTCTGCCATGATTTATCGTATCTGCCCCATTTGAAATTTTTTTCGCATTCTTTTGCAAATATTTTTGTTTCGCTCGCATTATTAAATCCAGTTATTGCCAAGATTGGTTCCATTTTTCCACCCATTCTTTTTGGAGCGTCTACATTATGAATTTCGGCACTTACTCTTGCTAATTCATACTATTAATTGGCCAATGAGAAGCGTGAATACAGAGTTTCTAAAAAAAGCATAAGGATTCAAAACCACAAAGAAACTAGATTGAAACCATTAAAGTAAAAAAAAAAATTTTGTAAAACTTGCCTAACCTCTAAATCATTCGTCGCGCCTATGAACGTTTGGTTCTTATTAATTCTTTTCATAATGTACGCGCAATGTACGTTCAACCAACGTTCACTTAGGGGAATTCCATGCGCGACTCTTATTTTCGGTTTAAAACTCATCGAGTTTTGTAAAAATTGAATGGAAAAAACCAGTTATCGTTATGACCAATTTTTTTGATCACAAAACCAACATTCATATGATCAAATTGTTATACACGTCACATTTTCCTATTTGATGTTGATCATTTTATAATTTACTGGTTGGCAAATCAACAAGTAATGTTTTTGATGAAGGACAAATTTTTCTAAACTGCTACGAGAAATTAGTTTATTTCTTCATCTTTGTTTTCCCGATTCAATAATTTCTCACGTTGATCTTTTAATTTTCGTGCTGAATTTGCATACGAGCCCAATGGCGTGGATTCATGATCAAAATCTTTCATAAAAGCTTCCTAAAAAATAGAATAAAATATGAATGTATATAAATTTTTTTTTAAAAAAAACAATCATCAAATTCCTATTTGTCTCCTACCACTTTAGCACGATCATTTGGCGCGAACTCTATTTGTGCTCGATGCTGTTCAATGTATTTTGCGTTTTGCTCAAACTGAAGATTACAAAAAACAAGCATATTATTAACGTATTAATCTAAAAAAAGAAACCCTTACTCCCTCACAAAATACTTTATTAAAGTAGAATGTATAATATGAAAGTTACTATACTTATGATGAAATAAAAATCATAAGAGAAGTCATTAAAATCATTAAAACATAACTAAATAATCATTACCTTTTCAATGAGACTATGCAGTTGCTTGTTCATTTTTACATTTTTTGATTTTTTAATATGTCGCTTAATCTTATTGATTACAAATAACGGTTAATATGTTTTATTCTTTCATCAATAAACCAAACTAGTAGCTAATTACCTGTACAATAGCCGGGATAACTAACTCTGGAAAAGCAACGGATAAACAGAAGCAAGCATAATACTCTAAAAGTATATCTGTGATCTCTTCACCAATACCATCCTAATATTTTATATAAAAATAATTATTTTAATAATGAATGGCAACAAAATTTTCCATAAAAAAGTTACCTGATAAACTCGAGTGTGTAAATAAGATTTTGGTGCTTTTAAATGCAAAGAAAAGTCGAGAGGTTTTAAAGTTGAAGGTTTTGGTTTTTGTCGTAACTCGGACGACTCCAATATTTCGAAAAGATAAGGAGCAAGCGGTATAAAAACCCCAGTCTTTTGTATTAAATTAATCGATAAACGTAAGCAATGGAAATGTAAAGGAAAATATTGACAGGTTGGAATTAATCTATAAAATAAAATATTCATCCAATGGTTAATCAATTATTTAGAAAAAGAAATAAGAAACTGAAGGAAATACCTGATAACACCAAGAGACACTTGAACTAATGGGTATATTAAAGGTTGCAATGGACTCTCTTCGCCAGTCGCCGCCAATCTTCTTTGATCACAATAAGTTGCTAGAACTCGTGACCAAAATTCTAAACAATGTATAAATTGCCAATTATAAACATTTTGATAAGATTCCTAAAAAGCATAATTAAAGATTTATATTGATTATAAATTGCAAATACTACTAAAAAGAAATTTATAAGATACCTTACTTTGCTTTTTACTAGCATAGAATTCCTCAAGTGAATAGCCAGTTGTCTTATATAGACAAACGCAAATTGATATGATACTTTTAGGTCAAGTCCATAAATTTCAACACCACAATTTGTCATAAAATTTATCGAAGATATCGTGTACACAGTAGTAGTTCTGCAATTTCGTACAAAAGTCATGTATATGCCCTATTTTTTTAATTGACAAAAATATTATTAAATAAATCTTATTTATTTGTAAAACAAAGTAAAAAAAAAAAATAGTATTATTACCTTCAGACATAGATCAATCATAGAAGGCGATCCAACAGTCGCAAGTTTACGAATATTTAAAAATGAAACTATTCTCACTTTATCTTCTGCTGATCCCCATAATTCTAAAAGCGTCTTTAAGAAAGTCAATACCTTATTACGTAATTAACCTTAATGGTAATATCATGATTAACAATTACCTTTAACCAACTCCTAGATAACTTTGGAAAACATAGATAATATGGAACACATTTTTCTGATTCTTTGACGATATAGTAAATCATGTCATTTTCCGATAAATTTTTAATCATATGAAGTATACTTTGTAAATATGATTTCACGGAAGATTGAATATTTTTCCATTTTTTACAAGAGCTTGGAAGTTTTCTTAAAAGCAAAGCAATAAGCATATGATATAAAAATAGAATAATGCCAATAAGAATATCAATAATAATTGTTACTTTTTTATTTCTCCTTCCTTGAAATTTAAATGATGATCAAAAACTGGGATCACGTATTTCAAACATACGACCACTAAATCATTAAATACTAGAAAGAAATTACAATTTATTAAAATATGTCAAGAGATCATATGCAATTTAAGATATCTCAATAATCTATTACCTGCTGCACTTGTGATTCTATATGCAAATAATTTTCCATCATCATCTTCATTAATATGAGCACCTGCACGAAATGCCAAAAGTAGACGTCTCAAAGAGCGCAATGATTTTTTCTAAAGAAAAACACAGTTAATTCATTGTTTGATAATCATATCAAGATTCTTATTATATTTAGTGTTACCTTAGTAATAGCCTCTTGCCATTTGATAACCATTTGCTTGGTAACTATAGGTGATCCATTTTCCATTTCAATGGTAATGTTTTTTTTGCCCTTAATCTCGTCCTTATTATCATTATCATCGTCATCGTCGTCGTTATCGCCATCATCATCATCATCATCATCATCATCATCATCATCGTCATCGTCGTCGACACCGTCGTCATCGTCATCGTCGTCGTCGTCGTCGTCGTCGTCGTCGTCTTCTTCTTGATTATCTAATTCTTTTAAATCATCGTCGTTCTCCTCCTCCTCCTCTTCTGATAAATCAAAATCGAGCAATTCTGTGTCATTTTCTTGAAGATATTTGTAAAATTCTGGATCTTTCTCCTTCAACGATTCTAACTGTTGTTTATGCTGAGAAATTTCTTTCCCTAATAATTTTCTATCACTAACTGTGACTGCAGATTTCTGTTCTAAATTTTTGCGCTTTAAAACTTTTTTCCTTTCCCTTTGATCAACTGCATTTTTTATCTTTTGAACTTTTTTTCGTCGTTCTATAGTTTGCCTAAGATGTTGCTTTTGAAACTTTTTCGTTGATTTCTTGGATTTTGGCATGTCTGTATTATCGGGACAGTATCCAGGGAATAGCAAAAAAAGTGCCGATCATAGTAAATCACAAATCTGTGGCAAGTTCCGACCCCCTGACGATTGAATAAATTGTATAAATTGTCGTGGGTACTCGATTTCGACCAATTTTTTACTGAACCAAATTTCAAATTTCCTAATCTGTAATTCATCCAATAGGAGAACGCAAATTTTTGGACTCAAAGAGATTAAACTAATGCATGAATCTGCACTATTAATTAGTAGTATTGAGCAAATCTGGCGGATATGTGGCTAATCAAGGATCACGTGATATTTGCGTTTTTGATTGTAAATTATATATCTTCAGTCTTCGTGTTTTTATTCAAAAATTTAAAATTTATATACATAAAGATATCAAAATAGTAGTTGTTCACATAATTACAGCTAATTTACATTATCTCTGTTATCTGATCCTTTTTCCATCTTTATTATGTCATTTAAAATTAAGCATTTCCATAGGGAGTAATTTTTTTAAATTATTTAAGCCAACTATGCCTATTACTGGCTGTGTTTGTTTCTAAAAAGTTCAAGTCTCTGTCAAAATATCCGTAATGATAAAACAGATCTGACATCTTCTGTAAATCTTAAAGCATCCAGAAATGGCAGCAAATCTAAAAGTGCTTCATCTTTAGGATCATTAGTCCATTCTTTGATAGGTATTCCATTTTCTGTAAAGATTGAATTATTGTGAATTGAAAGCACATAAGAATCTTTCAACTTGCAAGTTAAGCATAATAATTTACTTACCCTGTTGCAATGCGTATGAGATGGGCGAGTTATCTATCAGACAAACCTTGGAAAGATCAGGCTCGACCTTAGTAAGATCCTTCATGTAAACACCACTGCGATTTGTGCATGACTAAATTGCAAGAATGATAAAAAAATAAATCACTAAATTAAATCACCATTTTTTAAGTGAGCCCTTCTCTCATTACTTTTGCCTCGATAATAAAAGGAGGATCATAGATCAAACTTATTTTATTAAAAGAAATTGTGCTGACCTCACGAAAATATCGACTTGATATCAAATTTTTGTTTGGGTCTAACCAATCAATGACAGGATCCGCGTATTCTGACATGGAAGCAGTAAAAATAACTACTTTGTACCATTCGCTTACCTATTGTTGATATTAGTATAACAATAGAGACATTCATAAGATAATTTTAAATTATCATTGAATTTAAAAAAAAAATTTACCTTTTTCAAAAATCGATCAACATGTGGCCTTTTATGAACATAATATAGACAAGCGTGTTTATCAACCATAACTTCTATCATTTGCGCAGCGGCTCGTGATCCTCCTAAGGCTGAATGAATCAGAGTCTCATCCAAATCAAGAATAAGCGTTTTTGGTTCCATTAATGTTGAATATGACGTTATTTTCGCTGGCAATGATAATTGATGATATGGTGGTAAGTTATTCCTTAGTCGTGTAGTAAAACTTGATGATAGTTTATAATGATTAGAAGTATTGGTTTTGCTATTGTGATGATTATTACTATTATTTTTATCTTTATTATTAGCCTTATTATTGTCGTCAATTGAAGATGTAATTATGACCTGCTGTTGTAATTGACGCTTTGATTTTATCTTTGAGGAAGCTCGTGTAGTATTTTGTATTAAATTCTCGTGGTGATGGACAGGCTTTTCGTTATTATCATTATTTAAATTATCAACGCCATTGTCATTAATAATATTAATTGAATTATGATGATGGTGGCGATGATGATGATTTCCTTGGGTTGTTTGTGTGATGAAAGTAGATGAGGTATGTTCATTACTATTAGAACGATTTTGAATACGATCGGTCGCTTTACTGACTGTACTCGATATAAGAGAATACAAGATTGTCCAATATGATAATATAAACAATGATGATGAGTTTGTCGTGGTTGAACTCGAAAGGCAGTCAGATATTCCAACGTTATTCAAGTGATGATGATTACTATTATTATTATTATTATTATTATTATTATGATTATTATTATGATTATTATTATGATTATTATTATTATTATTATTAGTAGTAGTAGTTATAGTAATGCTGGGAGCAGTAGTGTCTTCGTTTTCTTTTTCATTCAGAGATGATCCTGTTGAACTTGTGGAAGACGTCGATGCAAATACTTCTTGTGACACAAGAGATGGAGTGGTGGAAGGAGGAAATGCAGGTTTCATTGCTTCTAATGTGATGTCAACCATTTCTATAAAAATGTTTATCTATTCATGAATTCGGTTGCACCTAATAGAAACTGTTCTTTGCCAATTCTCTCTTTTTTGTTACGAAAATAATTATAAACAAGCTTTATGGCAATAACTGTAGAATAATAATCCAAAATCTCCAAGAATTGTCGTTGCCAATGAAAACAATGTTTATAATGCTAAAGAAAAAAATCAATAGAATAACAAAGATGTAATAAAAAAAATTACCAACAACTACCTATATAAAAAGTAGAAAAGCATTCGGGGGTTGACGCGTGAGAAAACGATTCGTTAATTGTCTATTCAAAGGAAAGTCATCTGTAGAAGCCAATCACTCCACATGATGTCATCTCGCTTTGTTCTGATTGAAAGATTAACTATTGACTCATTGCTAATTATAATAATTATAATATTTCGTGAGACTTTGATTCGTAATAATCTGGGTCCCATCAGTATTGTATTATCTCATACAATCCATTCCGATCTTAAATCTTTTTTTTTCTCCAAGCCTCGATCTAATTTGGATGTGATTGGCATATGTATTCATATGTATATGAACATTGGGTAATTTTGTTTTATGTATGTGACACCAAACTGAAATTAGGTACCGTTAATTATCAAATACAAGTAATTTAATCACAAACGGGTCTTAGTTTATAAAATTAATAGATAGTCATAGTAATAATAATAATAATAATAATAAAGTTTAACCCTCATTATTAAGATATTTACCATACTTGCGCTATGGGAACTAGAGTGTACATTGGTCGTTTAGCAAGAGATGCTCGTGAAAGAGACGTAGAAAAGCTCTTTCGTGGTTACGGCAGCATTAGAGAAATTAAATTGATGAACGGCTTTGGTTTTGTTGAGTTCCGTGATCATCGTGACGCTGATGATGTAGTTTACACTTTTAACGGCAAAACTTTTATGGGTGAAAAGTAAGTTATACTCAACTGCATGAATTTTTTTTTTGCGTCTTCATTGCTCTTTGCCTTATAAGAAATAAAAGGGTATCATTTTTAATAATCTTGAAATAAATTCTTATTAAAAAAAAAAAAATTAGACTCATTGTTGAATATGCCCGCGGAGAACGAAGACGTCGGGACCGCGATGATCGCAGGGATAGAGACAGGGACGAATTTAGAGAGAGGGATAGGAATGATCATCGCAGGGACGAATGCAATCGTGATGTGGTTGTAACGGTCCTGGATATTTTATTCCTTCCCTTTCCCTTTCTTATCTTCAAATTGTTATGTGCATTTCTTTAAAATTACAGTCTCATGTAAACATCGAATCCTTTAATCTTTGTCCCTATAGTCGGTTCGCCCCTCCCCAAAGAAACCCCCATTATCGGTTAATTGTGGAGAATTTGTCTTCAAGCTGTAGCTGGCAGGTATGCAACCTTGTTCCATACTCCGTGCGTGATCCGCCCACTGCTCCTACTGTTTAGTGGCTTCGTGGGTCCTACTCTTCTCTGCTCTTCTCTCGTGGTTTTCGAAAAGAGTCGGATGAATCACTTTGAGACTCTCCAATCATTCGTATTTGATTTCTTTGTATGGCTTTGGCTCTGTCAATGAATCAAAGACATTGTTTTGTGTTTGCACTTTAACCCCTAATCAACGAGTCAATATGAAAATTAAAAAAAAAGGGGGGGGGGGGGGAATTGGAGAGCCCATACACACTGGTTTTCTGCTTACAATTAGTCAACCTTTTAATAATTTGGCTCAAAAAAAAAAAATCAGACTATAAGAGATTTACTTGCAAAGAATTGGGGTTCCGGGTGTATTGTGTTTTCATCTTCGAGCTCAGGCTCCATTTCGAACGAATTTTTGGTTTTCTCTACCGACTTGTGGTCTTCTGTCTGTCTGTCCTTCCATTGGAATTCTTCTCTTTTTGGAAATGACTGAGTCCTGGGGGTCTTGAAGCGCAAGTCCGTTCATACATTAAAAATCAACACTCCACCCCTACTCCTATCTACCATTCTTTAACAAAAAAAAGGATTTAAAAGACCTAATGCGAAAAGCTGGAGAAGTAACGTTTGCCGATTGTCATAAAGATCGAGAAGGTGAAGGGTTGGTATTTTATTATCATTATTATTGTTATCTTATCCTTTCTTTGTTGATAAATATTCTAAAAACAATGATCTTAATTATTATAGCGTTGTCGAATTCTCCTCCTATGAAGATATGAAGAATGCTATCAGAAAACTTGATGATACTGAATTGAAAGGAAAACGTATCTTATTGCGTGAAGCGCCAGTAAATATATATCTTTAGTATTACAAATATGATTTTAGAAAAATTATGATTGAGCTTAAGATAATTCTTCTCCAGGATAATGACACTGATCGTGAACGTGATCGTGAACGCCGTTCTTCAAGACGTTCGAGATCTCGGTCTCGCACTCCTCGTCGAAGCTCGCGTCGGTCTCTTTCTCGTTCACCTCGTCGCGCTCGACGTTCTCGCTCTCATACAAGATCCAGAACCCGATCCCGATCTCGAACTCCTCCTCCGAATGGCAAAGATCGCTCTCGCTCCGCGTCACCTCATCATCGTGATGAATCGCATTCTCCCAAAAGAAGTAGATCCAGAAGCGCTGAACGTGGCCGCGATGATGACAAGTGAGTGCAGATATAAAATTTGGAAAAAATATTATAACAATAAATGCCTAACATAAAAACTTACTTATAGGGACATGAAAGTTGATTAGAAAAAAACTAAATAATTAAATTCGGTAAAAATATTTTTTATCTCGTGCAATTTTCTTCACCTAACAGACTTTCACCTGGCCCTTTCTAGAATATCGACTAGCAGTTAGTTTTTATCACAAGTTCGTGCTTGATTTATAAGAGATTATAATTTATATATTATTGGTAATAATAGTATTATTGATAATAACTTGTTTCTCAAGATATTTTTTTTAATACAAATACAATTGTTCCATAGATAGTTTTCTTGATCTCCTCACATTTAGTTTTATCGAATTCGCATATACAAATAAATATTCTCGCTTATTGAAATAATATTTCATCAATAAATAACCCGTGATTTCTCATTATGGCAAAGAATATCTTTGTGCAGAGACACGTCTTATTTCGCGTCTAAATTTTTTTATCGTTATAATTTATTGAAATGAAAGTAGATACATATCAAATATATTGGCATGATGCCTTGCCCATTTACTCTGCAGATTTCGAACCGAGTTCAACTGGTCGCTTAGCAACAGCTGGTGGTGATAGCAACGTGCGGGTAAGCGTCTGAAGAATCAACGTGAGATGCAAAATTCGTCGCGTTTATAATATAAAGTTCTTTTTTTCAGATGTGGAAAGTCACAAAAAGTACAAAAAGTGATGATACTTTGCCAAGGATTGATTATCTTTCTACCTTAAATAGACATACTGCACCTGTTAACGTTGTTAGGTTCGCACCAACAGGTATTCGGTGTTTTTTACGAATAATCTTTAATATAATATAATATAATATATCCACTATTAATTAATCTTCGATTGATTCTTTAGGAGGAATTCTGGCATCTGCTGGTGATGGTTAGTCATAAATATTATTTTGCTCACGGAAACCCTGATTTATCCTCTAGCTTACAAATTTAAATTTTAGAATTAATTATTTCTTAATATGCAGATGGTAGTATAATTTTGTGGTCTTTGAATGAAGATCAAGAATCAAAACATGTCTCATTGGTTGGGAATTCTGAAAATGATGCTGAACTTGAACGTGAAAGCTGGCGAGTAAAGAAATTTTTAAGGTAAAAAAAGATCTTTCATTAGATTTTTTTGTGTCATTATTTTAAATTTGTTTTCTTAACTCTTTTATTCAAGAGGTTCTGCAGCAGACATATATGATCTTGCATGGTCACCTGATGGAAAATACATTATTACTGGTTCTATCGACAATACGGCACGAATATGGAATGTTAATGGAGGTAATTTAATTAGTTACATAGAAATATAAAGTTAACCACAAAGTTTAAATTCATTTTCTGTTTTTAGGAACATGTCTATATGTTTTAGCTGGTCATAGTCATTATGTACAGGGGGTCGCTTGGGATCCTTTGGGAAAGTATATTGCCACCCAAAGTAGTGATAGGTAAATAATAATAATAATAATAATTTTCTGTTGGTATATCAAAATAATCGATTTTTCTAAAGTATTCTATGTAAAATTTTCTAGATCCGTCCATATTTATTCGTATCAGATACAAGATGATGGTTCTTTTGCAATCACTGATCTTGGAAAGAATCTGATTTACAAACGTGATGTCATCAAAGACAACAGTAATAGTAATGACACTACACCTGATAATTCGCCGATCAAACAAACTCAAAATGGGGTCTCACTTGATCCGAATTTATTTACCAAAGGAGAAAATGTCCTCTTGTCTAAATTTAATGCTGTTCATGCGAGCAACGAGAAACTAGGATCTCATGAATCTCATTCTTCAGCAACCACAAAAACGATGAATACTCTCATTGCAGAAAATTCAGTGTTCAATAACGATAATGAGTCATTATCTCCGGTAATACATCCTCGAACACTTCAAGATACAGCAACAGATATGGTTGCAGAATCATCGTTAAATACTCCACCGAAAACAACACCATCAAAACCATTCTCGAAATCATTTCGGATGTATTGTGATGAAACTTTGAAATCATTTTTTAGAAGGTTGGCATTTACACCGGATGGATCACTTCTCCTGACTCCAGCGGCTCTTTATCGAAATTCAACGACACAAAATGAAGTGCAACAAACCACAAGAATCCATAAAGAAGCAAAAAATGCAGTTTATTTATATTTACGCAATAAATTAAACAAGTAAGTAGAAAGAAGCAAGCTAAATAAATCATAAAAAATTAATCATGATTAATTTTTTATTAGGATGCCTATTGCATGTCTTAAAGGATTCGAAAAATCATCAATTTGCGTGAAATGCAGTCCTGTACTATACAAGTTACGTGTTATCGAGTCCTCTTCATTCCCAAGCGAAATTGATGCATCTTTGTCAAAAATGAGTATCACTGAAAAAAACAATCCATCAAAGTTTCTCGACTTACCATATCGTATAATATATGCAGTTGCAACACAAGACGCGGTCTTTATTTATGATACACAACAATTGAGTCCACTGGCGATGGTGACAAATCTGCATTATGCAACCTTTACGGATGTGACTTGGTCTATTGATGGGAATATTCTGATCATCGCTTCTGCCGATGGCTTTTGTTCTGTCTTATGGTTTGATGAAGGAGAATTGGGTGAACCATATTATAATAGAAATGTTATTAATGAAAAGCCAAAAATTTCCAACACTATCACTATCAATAATATACCTAAAGACAATGTTGTCATGACTGCTATTGATGATTCTTTGCGAGTCGAAGCTCAATTATCGCCTCAAACCAACTTGTCTTTGGTTCCACAAGATCAAAAAGATCAAAATGGCACCAACACCCTTTGTTCACCAAATCAGCCAAATATCGATCAATCACAAACACCCAACAATCAAAAGAGGAGAATTGTACCAACTTTAGTTCAATCATTAGATATCTAATGATAGTAATTTGGTGGTCATTTATTGGAAAATCAAATTTAATGTTAACTTTCAAAGATATTTCTTATCCTTCAAACGACATATTATTAATAATATACATACAAGAAATCCTGTTTAATATGATCTTTAATGATGAGAGCAAATTTTTTTGGTCGAATCAATGTAATGCTTTTCATACATTCTTTATAATGAACACATCTATTTATTAAATAGAAAAGTTTTTTCAAAGGACTATTGCAATATTTCTAATTTCCAGGATTCACTTGTTGCTTTTGATTTAATAATATCAACAGATGATGATTGACCAATATCGCTCCCTTTTACTTGCGATAAGTTATCTGTCATTGGGGTCTTTCGAAGCGTAATAATTAAAATCAGGAATAAGAACCTCATCCACAATTACACTTCATAAGCGGAACAATAATTGAATATTCTGAGAAAAGATAAATACCTTTGTTTTTGAATCCATTATGTTCGGTGACGATATCTCAATATTTTCGATTCGTGTTTGCACTTGTTCTTCAAGTTCAGAATACAGCATCTGAAGATTTTTTGCTTTCTCAACATATTTTGACGTTATTAGGAAATGCAAGATATTAGATATACTCCCTATGTAAAAAAAAATTAACGTTTAATAATTACGTTAATTTTTTTTTGTTGTATCTAATATATTGATGTCTGTTACAAACCTTGCATATTATAGAATCGCTCTTTAAGCCTTCGAAGAGAATCGAAAAGATATTCTTTTTCATAGATACTGCCTTTTTTTCCGCGCGCGCGTTTTCTTTCATCTCGACGTCGGCTCTTGGCACTTTTACTTTAATAGAACCAAGAAAAACAATTACCAAAAAATATCATGTCTACGTTCAAATAGAAAATCAATTATCTACCCGCTTCGCGAAGAATCTACACTCAATCGAGTATTTGACTTTGTGTATCTTGAAAAATCACTAACAGCAATCGAACTCGTGTCTGAAAAAATCTCTACATTTTCCAATGTTTCGTCGTTTCTGATATGTTCCAATTCTAAAATATCAAAGCAAGAAATAGTAATGTTTCTTATGAAGAAATGGCGAGCGTATCAAGAATAAAAACATCACTTACGTTCTTCGTTTTCTTTATCGATTAATAGTTCGGTGAGTCGCATTGTTTGTTTGTTTAGCTGTTCTTTCATATCTTCAATATCTTCAATCAAATGCTTGTATCCTATAATTGCAACGTATTGTATTAATAATATGAAGAGATAGAAAGAATAAATTATATAATGGAAATTGCTTCCACCTTCTAATACGCTCGGTTTGATGTGTGTTTCCAATAAATCTACTCGATTTTTCAGATAGCACTACGAAAGCTTAGGATCTTTTTACGAAAAAGATCAACAACATATGTATATATATATGATACTTACAATGCGCGTGGCCTCGTCCCACATATATGATTTTCCTAGTAAATTGATGGCATCCTCTAATTCCTTTTATTTGAAAAATATTAGCAATTTTACAAAAAGCTTGAAATAAATTTATTAGAAATATTGTAGATTAATTAATAAACCTGTGTATAATCTAAAAGAACACGCGCAGCATCTTGATAACTTTTTTTATCAGTTAAGAGCTCTAAAATGATGTACCGATAAATAAATTATTAGTTTTGCATAATACAAATAACCGCATGAAAAACAAACCAACCAGAAAATTCTTTGGCTAAATCATATAAATCTTGAGAGGTGTAATTTAATTGTTGAGCAATAGAAAAAGCATCACGCCACAAAAGAGCATTTTTGTAGCTATCCAACGCATCGATATGCTTGTCGGCCAAAAGATAAGCTAACGGGAAAATTAAAATCAATAAACTTACAAAAAGATTTAAATATGTATATTTATAAATGAATCATAAATTACCCAATCCAGCTTCTTTGTGTTTTTTGTTCGATGACAAGTAATCACCATACATTGACATTATTTTCTGATTGATATAAAATTTATAGTTTTATTTAAGAAAGATATGTGATCAAAAACGGAGATAGTTTTTAAAACCTTATATGGTTCTGGATTATTGGAAAATAAAGTCAACCCGAGCCGATAAAGTTCATGTTCAAGTATATATTCATAACAGCGATCAATGTGTTTCTCGCCTATATTATTATAAATTGAATGCATCATTTAAATAATACACATGCAAATAAAATATCATATTTTTTCGAAATTTACCAGCCAAATAAAGATTATTTAATGCCTTTTCATAGCGTTTCAAATAATCGTCAATCTTGAATCGCTGGAAATATTTCTCATGTGTTTGAAGTTCCGACAAAAACGGTAAATATTCTCTGGGATCCTAACAAAATTAAGCATAATTAATTGTCAAAACTAAATAGACGTTGTTGCGGATAAACGTCATTACATACTCTTTGAGACTGTTGTGCAACCATGAGAACCAGACTGAAATTGTACATTCCCAATGCCACATCAAATAGTTTATCCGTATCAACTAAAAACGTGATAAACTTTAAAGCATCCTCAGCATAATCAAAATCTTTTTCTATTCAATTGGAGATACCAATATTTAGCATCTATTCAAACCATTTATAATAGTAGTCATACTAATAGAATTGATCAATTTATTGCTACCTTTAAGAACCACCAAAAGTTTCAGTGCAGGTTCTAAATCCGGTGGCGTTTTGTGTACATAGGCGGTCAATATTGATTGGATATATCGTTTTAAATCTAAATTTTCTAATATTTCCCTTATCGAGTCACAGATAATGTTGACTTTTTGTCGTGGATCTATTCGATCACTATTTGATATTAATAGCAGATGACTCCGTATTAGTGTTTATATTGTAAAATAAGAATGAATAAAAATAATATATCTTTACTTTGGTTTTTGAGATGCACCATTTTCCGATTTATCATTAGAAGGATAAGGATACATTGTCAAGGTGACATCCTCATTTCTGGATAAAAGAAGCAACTTTCAATATTTAGTGAATTAGATAATTCTCACATAAATCAATTAATATTTTCCCACCTTAAACTTGACAAGAATAAATTTAAATAATCAACTTCAGAAACTTGTTCCACAAATGTTTTCACATTTCCCAAAAAAGTATCCGGTGCATGATCGTAAAGAATATTAAAGTCAAGTTTATGTTTACGGCATAATATAAAAGCCGATCGGTAATCCAAACTGAGATATTGAAAAATTAAACAGAATTAACATATAGGTTATAAGTATAATTATGATAATTTAACTTACCTATTCAAATGTTGACGCACAGCAGCTAAAACAAAAGCGCGCGGATGTATAGTCTCCAAATTTCCTCTTGGCATCTACAAAAAATAATAATTAGCTTATATTTTTGAATCCTGTTTTTATTTCTTTTCTTCTAGATAAAATACGTACTTGTAGAACAAGAGAGACGTCAAAATACGGTGCAATAATGATTTTGCTTCCTCTTTCAACACGGCGTATCGTTTCGTCAAACGGATGTGCAATATTATCAGAAACTTTGAATTCTAGAAAAAAGCGTGTATGTGAATTTTCAAAAAAATATACACACATATATATAGAGAAGTTCAAATTACATACCTGAAAAGTTGACATGAAGAGGAAGAAATCTAGCAGTATGTTGTGTAGTAGTGTAAACTAAATAGTCGTTATGAATAAAAAATGATGTACAATCTACTGCTAATAGCCTGTTATTCGCGTAAAGCTTATTATTTTTACTCAAGCCTATAATAACAGAAACCTACAAAAAATTTTGAAAAATTCAATAAATGTTAATAATAATATAAAAATTAATAAAAATAAAACATCACCCCTTCTTCTCCATGCTTTCCAATACGAGTTGACGAAATATGCTCACAAAATTCTGGGAAACATGTAAATGGCTCAACCAATAATTCATCTTTTTGTTCTTTGAAAATAACTAATAAAAAAAAGAAACATTATGAATATTAAAAAAATTACGCAAATTATCCGATCAATAGGGTGATATACCTTGGATACACTATGGAATTTTGCAGATAAAATACTACAAGGTATCATCCGTGGTTCAGAATTTTCCATATCAGATCCTTGCATATCACTCTATTTCGACCAGTGATTAATTTGATAAAAGATCATATTAATTTGCTTTTTACCTTTATATATGGATCCGTTCATGGTCTCTATAAAAACTTCATCATAATTGACATTGGAATAAAGCCTCAAAATATGATGTGAAGTAATACAACGTGTCTGGGACACGATTGAAGGTATACCAGATTCATCATCGAAAGAAATATTAATTTTGACAATAGAAGAAGAATGCAATCCGAGCAACGTGTTTTTATTGATCCATGCTATTTGTTTCAGTGAAGAAGTTGGATCCTTATTCATAGTACTGATAAAATACACGGTTAATTAATTATCAATTGATAACAATGAAAATTATTATCTGAATACGAACTTTATTGATCCCAATAATGTAGAAAGTCTTATAGGTTTCTCGCAAGCACCAGCCCATTCAAACAATGATATATCCCCATTTGCTTCTAGTACAGCAAAATCATTACCGTGATTATTTGCCGAGAACGATAAATGTGCAGCTGGGTAATTGAGTTTTATGGAATAACCACTCATCGGAGGTGGAATATTCATATAACGAAAAGGTGTAAGGAGAATTGACGCTAACAAAGGAGTCAAAGAGTAAATTAACATAACTCAATTTAAGAAAAAAGGAAAAAAATTTGAGAAAAAAAATATTTCTTTACATCCATCAATAACTGCTACAGTTGCAGCATTTTTTTTGGAGATGGTGTGACTGATTAACACGTCCCATGAATAATTATGAACGTAATAAGCTTCTATATAAGATTTTTGACCGAATAAAAAGAAATGAATAAATCATCAGAATAATTAAAATCAAAAAAAAAGAAAATACAAAAGTTGATCTTACTTTGAGTTATGTAATGTAATTGCAGTGCTAATTCAGCGTCCCAGCATAGAAAACAAATAGATTCACCAGGCGGACACAGAATTTCTTGCTTCAAATACCAATGATAATTATTCATGTACCATAATTGAACTGAAATAAAAAAGATATTATTTTCATAGTTATTCGGCATTTTAAAGATAATAATAAATTATTACCACAAGACGAATATTGAGAAGGCGTTTCCTCCCGAATCAACCAAACAGCTAATATCGATGAATCGCAATTCCATGCTAATTCAACCACCTAATATTCAATGATAACATAATAAATTACTTGACTCTTAAAATAAATAATATAATTTCCATTAAATCTAATTTAAATAAATTGAAATGTTCTATTCGAATTGCACCTTATGATTTTTCGTTTCTCGCAACGCGAATTCTCCATGTGGTAGTCCATTTTTCTCGAAAAAACAAATATTATGTTTATGCGGCAATTTCTGTGAAGATGTTATCAAATTTCCACTAGGTCTTCATGCAAAATAATTTAATTGAGAACATATGTTCAATGATTTCAAAAACAACTAATTACTATACCTCCAACAAAGACTATGCTCTAATTTATCAATAGGTTCACTCGTATTCTGTAAGATTCCTTCTCTATTGTATATCCTAATTACGCGTCGTTCTATTTAAAAAAATGATTATTGTATAAAATTAATCAAGATCTTACAACTTACTGTAAATTTTTTCGCGTTAAATTAAAACTAATTCGTTAGCTACCTTTTAGAGGGTCTATTATTGAACACGTAAAGAAACTCCCGTCTCCACACCAGGATACACGAGGCCGAGAATCGTCATCTTCAGATAACGTGTATTCCGATAGATTAGCTTTCTTTAGTGCTGCAGATTTTCCTTCTGAACCGTGAAACTGCGTTTCTTTGCGACCCCATCCCACGCTAACACTAGCCGCTATTAAATAGATATTGCGATTAAGACACAGTTTGCGTGTAATCAAAACACGTTCCAAAATTTATACCTTCGCCAGCATTCTCTACATTAACAGGAAACTCCGTCAAAACTTCAAAATCCTTTGTCATTAGCAAGACATTATCATTTCCTAACGAAATTTTAACAGTTTAGAAACCATTAAAGTCCAGGAGGGAATAATCATCCGCTAGCGAAGATACCATTGATTATCACTCCCAATTCTTCATCAGGACTCCATTCCATACATTTGATTCCAGGCTCGACGGTTCCAACTACTTCAATCTAATCAATTAAATGAATCAAAAAAAAACCCCCAATTTAAATTTATAACACTGAATGAGAAGACAAAGTTTAAATTTACCAATTCAAGTCCTTCTAAATTTTCTTCTAAATTTTCCTCGCGCACAAGAACGATATCACCACTGCTGAATGCGATCAAGCAAGCTTGTACATCATGCAGGTATTTCAAGCAAATGATTTCACTATTGAAAAAATCATGTTGCTTTGTAAACGAGGTTATTATATCAATTTCCTAAATTACGGAAAAAATTGATTAGTACATGTAGAGTGAAGGATCAACAGCCACGTTTACTTTACCCCGGAAATTCGAAGTAGCTCGGTAGAAGAGGATTCTTCCGAAAAAGCTGTCGTCACCCAAACATCCTTTGTCTCATAATTTATAGTAAATTTGAATTGACACTTTGAGGAAGTAGGCACATTTTGCTCAAGCGAAACAACGGTTTTCGCTAATGTGATTAAATTCTTCATATTATTTCGAGAACGATGCGTGGATATCTAGAAATTTTTAATGATCTAAAAATTTTTATTTACGTGTAACTTACTATAAATACTCAAGTTGTACAATAATGAATGTGAGCATCAGTCCATAAAAAATAATATGCATACATAATTCCTTCCGATAACGAACGTTCGTGATGATTTTTTCACAAATTTGGTGTAACTTTTGGTATTCCCGTGTGTGTACCAAAAAAAATTCCCGCTCTTCAACCCAAAAAGAATACACAATCTCCTTTCTTTGGCTGTTCTAATAATAATAATACTATTATTATTATCCTATTTATATTCACTCCCTCTCTTGACATTAACTCTCCTTTTGCCTTAATAAATCTGGCATCTATTTATCCGTCCTACTACGATCTCATTTTCCACTCGACCCAAAAATCTTCCAGGACACTAAAAAAGCAATTTGGTGGTACGTTAACGACTTATTCAACTTATCAACCTTCTCCCTTGTCATCCGAAGCCCCCCCTTCTCACCCTCCAAAGAGCTTCCTAAAAATAGCCAAAACAGTCACTCATCCTACATCTATTCTAGCACCTGGTAGTGTTATCTGGACGGTCCTCCTTTTCTTTTCATTATTAGCCAAAGAAAAATTGATAATAGTTAGGAGGAATACACAAAGAAATATTTTCACCTTTCAAGAACGAGCACACAAAAAACTTTTTTTTCAATTATAGTAAAAAATTAGCAAAATATATATCTGCGAAAACAACAAAAAAAAACAATCACGATTACATACATACCGCAACCATGGGCTCGTTACTATCACACCTAAGCAAAGGGAGTGGTGATGCAATGGTGCCAGATATAAATCTTGACCTTGAAAGTAAGCAATTTAATTTCTTCTAATTATAATTAATTTTGAACCAATTTTTTTTTTTACCTGTTCTATGATATTATTTTCTTTTGAATATTGACGCGATTGCTGTTTGTTCGTGAATATTTACTGAATTATTTAACGGGTTTTTTTCCCAAGATGCCAAACCTACTCAAGCTGAGGTAGGCTTGCATAGCCATGTATCAGGACTACTCCAGCCAACAGATTCTCTTCTGGACTCCTTACGACGATACGATGGATGCGGAGAGCTCATACGAAAAGCAATATCAAATCCTACACCTGAAAACGAAGAAGAAGCTTGGCAGGCTGTTCAACCTGCTGTTGCAAAATTAAAACGTTATTTTGAATATTCAGCATCATTGGGTATTTATATGATTTTCAATCTAGATTGGAACAGAGTTATTAATTTCCGAAACGGTTTTATTGATATATAGAGAATTTTGTAATTCTGATTTTTGATAGAGGATGCATTACCTGAACTGTTGAAAGCACTTTGTGAAGGCAATGTGCGGAGTAATATTGAAAAATATCAAGCTCTCACAAAATTATTGGCAGATATACTGGATTTTGCGTTCGAGTTTGATTATTTGAAGGTTCGATTGATTTATTTTTGACTAGGTAATATACGATTTTCGATAAGATCATAAAGTTTGATGCTTTTTTTTTAAAAAAAAAAAAAGATGAAAACGCCATCTATCCAAAATGATTTTTCATACTATCGACGAACATTAAGCCGGGGGAAACTTGCAAACGAAGTTAGTCAATATGAATATTATATTTCTACTGTGTAAGAGTGACTAATTGGTTGATTGGACATTTTCTAATAATAATGATGATAATTAAATTAGACGGACCTGAAAACTGCCATGATTGAGGATGAATTGGCCAATCGAATTTCATTATTCTACGCATATCCAACGCCAATGTTAAAAACTGTAACGGACGTTACAGCACTTTTTGTTGCTAAGGTAATAATCATTATTTAATCTTTCTTTTATTAAAACACGACGTGGTAATGATCAACATTTATCTTAATTAAATTAGAATAATTTGGGCAGAAACGTTTCAGAATGTTTATCTGGATTGGCGGCAGGATGTTATCATGCAGTGACAAAGAAAAGGTTTATTTTTTTTCTATTCAGAGGAGAAAAAATCAATTGAATGGTTTCAATCGATCAATTAATTAATTAATCTGCGCATATATTGATACATTAATTCAACAGAGTTCAGTCAGCAGAAGCGATCGCTTTTTGTCTACGGGTGATGGTCGTTGCTATTATTCTTTATGATCATATTGACCCACAGGGAGCGTTCAATCGACAATCTCCAATTAATGTAAGGCTTAAACATAACATTCATTCTTATTATTAAATTGATTTAAAACAATGATGATGATGATGATGATGATGATTATTATTATTATTATTAGATAAAATCTTCGGTTAAGGCAATACAAGCTCATGGAACCACAGAATATCAGAATCTTATGTCCGCTCTACGATTTAACACCAAACACCTGAATGATGAATCTACACCGAAAAACATAAAACAACTTTTGAGCAGCCATTAGGTCATCATCAACGCACTGAAGGACTTCACCTTGTATAAAGAAAAAAAATATTAAAAACATACAAGCAACTTAAAACAATCAACCAACAACAATCAACAGACTATAAAATCAAATAAACAACATTTGACACAGCACAATTTATTCGATTCTCTATATTTTTTTTTAATTTTCATTTTTGACTTAGTTTTCATTTGTAATCTTAATTTTTTCCACAAACTTTTATTTAACCCATTTTATTTGACATGTTAAGAAGAATAATGATTAATAATAATATTGGGTTTCATTTTTGGGATAACGAAAGAAGTGGGCTGGGCCTACTTGCTTACCTCTTTCACACTCTCCCTTCTCAAGTGTGTGCTTCAGTTTATTCTATTTATTTGTTTTAATAATAATAAGTGTGGACCAAATCACACGTTCATTATTATTAATTTTATTGAATGGTTTCGAAACCTCGAAGAAAAAAGAGAAAAAGTCAATTTTTACTCGTAAATTAGCGATGTATATATATATATATCTAATATAATATATACATATAAAATTCCCCGCGCGCACACATATATACGCAAGGACAAATTAAATATATATATATATATATATACACGTATATATTATATATATTATATATTTAATTTTATATTCTTTGTTAATTTTTTAATTGTGTATACGATTTTTGGTTTATTAGTTTTAGTTGTATGAATAGGAAAAAATTTCAATGAAATCATCTTTTAATAACAATTATTCATACTGTTACTGCAAGTTGAAAATCCCATAACGAAACTAAAAATAGGCAAACTATGAAATGATCGTTATAATAACTATTCAGGAATATGAATGATAGAAGCACAAAATAGGAAAAAAATCATTTCAATGATCTTTAATAATAACTATTCAGGAACATGCTCCTTGCTACCTACCCCCATATAGATTATGTGTAATGTTCACCAAATTCTCACGCTTCAATCACTTTATGACATATATCCATATATCTTGATGTTAAGTGATCCAATTCTTGACACCCAGTGATCATTTTCAAACAAAAATATTACTATTCGATTCCGTCTCGACTAGACGAATCAAATGGTATGGTAATATTTATGGCAGGATATTTGCTCACCGAATTTCAAGATATTGCATCATAAAGTGACGATTCATTGTATTTACGAGCGTAGATATTTGACGAACATCCAATGCCCGATATAGTATAAAGACGTAGATGATCGGTGTTTGCGTAGTTTTCTGTGTTCGAAAAATTTACACATGATCTATGAAAAGGTAGGTCACTTCTGACGAGTTGCTTGGCTACAAAATATGCAATCTTCTACAAACTTCTGGCATTCTCTAGCCACGTATTTACGTACTAATTACGTTAAGGGTTGGCATTCTGCGGCCAAGAATTTTTTGGCCAGAATTTGGCCAGCCAAGTAACCGTGGCCAAACTCTGGCCAATTGGCCAATTGTCAACCCTGTATTACGTACCGTAATTCTCGTCAAATAGTATCATTCTATATTAATAAAAACGGTTACTATTTCCTAGGTGATGTTTAAAAACAGGTGATTATACTATGTGACATAAGATAATTGTAAATCTTAATCAAATTTTCCCACAATAATATTCTATATATAAAGGGTCCTTCTTGTTCAAAAGATTTAATTCAAGCAAATAATTGAAAGATTTTTGATTCAAGCAAATATTTAAAAGATTTATTAATTCAAAACACAGAGCAAAATAACCTGATAAACCGAAAGCATGGCATTTTTACATGGTGTCAGGAACATTGTTAGAACGGTGGGGCTTGGTGAATTAAAACACGTTTCCGTTGAGAATGATAAAATTGAATTTGATCCTGAAAAACGTAATAATATTTCTATTATCGTAAGAGGTCATGTTATGGTGGGTATATAAGTGGAAAAAGCATTGTTGTACTCGTTTTTACTTAATTAATATTGACTTTAAAATTTTTATCATAATAAATACAGCAAGGATCCATCACATTACTGCGAGATGATCAAGAATCAAAACTATTAAAGATCAATAACAAGATTTACGTGACCGACGATTACATCAGAGTTACAATAACTCCTGTATACACGGATAATCAACTAGTACTAACCATAGAGGTAAATAATTAAAATGAATTTTTTTTGGTAAAGCAATTTGCCATTTTACCTTCTGAATTTTTTTTCATTCTCCTTTGTAAATTCAAAAGGGACCGCGAGAATTTACCAGAGTTAGACATGAAACTGAAGTGATATTCCCGCGTGATTTAAGCGCTCTCGAAAGCTTTTCCATAGAATGTGAAAACGCGAATATTGATGCATATGCACTACCAACTTTATTCTTTGACCGATATCAAATCAATAATACCAATGGAAATATTGATTCGCGGGTAACTAATTGACTTTATTATTAATCATCATTATCTTTTTTCAGTGAATACTAACAACATCATGCATTCATGACCTCTATTGTTATCAATCTAAAAATAGTTACTTAAAGGTACAAATATTATTCTAAGAACAACCAATGGGAATATCACGGGTTCTTATCAACCTCTTGCAAAATTTGTTGCTGAATCTTCGAATGGCACGATCGATTCAAGTGTCACGTCAGCAGTGCAGCCATCTTCGGTTGAACTTCGGACAACCAATGGAACCATTAAAGGTTTTTATCGAATGGCGAAAAATTTCACAGCAAAGACCACGAATGGAGCTGTCACTGTTCAAGGTCACTTGAAAGAAAACGAACAAGTTGATGCTAATCTGGCGTCAACTAATGGTGTGGTGTCGTTGACTATGGTAGGCATTTTAATTCTAACTATTGACATGTGTCTCTTGCGTATTAAATAATATTAATCCGTCGTCCTTTTAGTCAAAAATTTATCAAGGTCGATTTCAACTTGAAACTACTTGGGGATCAACCAGCGTATCAGAACTCTTTGACGTGAATTTTGAGACTTATAATCGTACCTTGAAAAGCGGCGTGAAGGGTACCGCTCCCAATGGCAATAACAACATAAAATTGAGTACTATGAATGGTGCGGCTCGATTGGAGTTTAATTAGTATTTTTTTTTGAAATTTTTTATGTATCATTTCATTTATATTCAAAACCATATTTTTTCATGTTATTTTTTGGATTTGATTATATTTATTAAGTTTGTGAATTCTATTTGTTAATTTCTTATCAAATTTATTGGAGCAATTTTAGTTTTCAAATGATTTCGTGATTGATTAAAATATGATGAACAAATTTATCATATATAATATTAGAGAGTGATATTTATATAAAAATAATATCTTTCTTTCATCTTGCTATTATATTTGTTATAAAATTTTATATTTTTTAAATAATTGTATATATAAATATATATATGGACAAGAAATCAAATATAAATATCTTTTTTTTTATATAGAATGTCTTTCAAATATAGTATTTTAAATTTAATAATCGATATTTCATATTTAAATCTAAAGCGATTTGTATAATTATATATCACGTATATAATTACAGATAAAAAATGATATATGTTTTAAATATAACTTTAAATAAGAAAAAAAAATAATACATATAACGTGGCATAATAATAATTAGAATTATAAACACAATACATCAAAATTGTTCCTATTTTCGCAAAAAATGGAATTAAATTAATTATTATGATAAAGAAAACAAATCTATCAATATTACAAAAAATAATGGACTTGTTCCTAAAGTATAATATAAAATTAGAGTGAGTAAAAATAACGTTGATTCGAATAAATATCTATTGAATTTCATCATTACCTTCCTTTCAGAAGTCATTTGCTGGGGTCCATCTCTGTCATTCTCTGGCGCCGCATCAAATACATTGAAAAATCGTTCACCATATGTGCCCACTTCGAGAATCGAGGCCAGATTACCACAGCGATAACAGTAATTTGGAGCAGACCATACCGTTGAAAGTTTATCATCATAAAGTACCTAATAACAATAATTATGATTAGTATTATTGTAACCTAAAGATTCCGAGTATTTTATAAACACACACCTGATATCCTTCCATACACAATTGATGTGCCCTTAATATATGTTCCATTTGATTGATCTCCAGGAACTTTTTAACAACTTCGCCTCCAAAAGTATAACCCGCACCTCTTTAAAATCCATATTATTAGTGAGAATAAACTCCTACCAATTATATAAAACAAATCAGGAGTTCACCTCGGAGAAATAGCAAATTCGTCCTTATCTGGGTCCGGGTCTGACCAAACTAAATCAGCCATCGGCCCTTCATGCGGTATTTCTTCAATAAATAGATTTATGTGTAAATATTTTATTAATAAACCTTAAGTCGCACCAAGAGAAATAAAGAATTACATTGAATTATTTTTTTACCTC